GAAAGTTAAAGGTTTTAAGTCATGAATCGTCCTGCTCCCCAAGGCCTCGTTTATTTACCTCCCTGTTACTGGATATTGACATATGGCTGAACAAATGGTATCTCCCTGGCATTACTAAAAACCAATCTTCTGCTCAAGGAGTCTGGGGTCTTCCGCTGATGTACAAGGGCCGAGGCTGGGTCCTATGAGTTACAGGAACAGCAATCCTCAGTGGAAGCCTGACTAAAGCCCTTGTAGTGTTCAAGTGGAAAGAAATAGAGGAAGATATCCCTCTGGGAACTTGTAGACTGTCCAACAGAACCACTGTGGCAACATATCTATAATTTAAAATTTCAAGTAGTCTCATTTTTTAAAAAGGTAAAAAGAAACAGGTAAAATTAATTTTAACAATATATTTATTTTAACCCAATATATTATATCAAAAATATGTAACCAACACAAAGATATTTGTGAGATAGATTACGTTCTTTTCTTCATATCGTCTTTGACATCCATAATGCATTTTATATCACATCTCAATTTGGAATGCTCAGTAGCCATATTTTGAGTGCTTAACAGCCACTTGTGGCTAGTGGCTATTGTATTGGACAGTGAAGTTCTAGGGGATTCCTCAGAGAAAAAGGTATTGGGTTGTACTAGGGAAGCCAGGACATTCTCCACACTCACCTATGAATTTTGTTGTCTCAATATTGCTTCCATGGAAGACCATTCGCAGTTTTAGTATCACACTCAACTCTGTATTCCCTTGAGAAATGAGGCTCCTGCTTTATGTCTTTTTTCAGTAATTCAGAAGTTTTAGGATTTTTTTTTTCTTTCTTTCCCAGATCATGAGGGATATTGCTATAATGGTTGGAAGGTTTGGATTGCTAATTTGGTATTTCTTATAGATGCTGAGACAGCTGTTTGCAAGCCTGTGTCTGTTCCCCATCTTAATTTAGACATAGCATATTAAAGGCTTGGATTTATCTCCTCCCTGGTTTATCATTATTGACTTGGTAGAATGGGGCTGTTGCCTCCTAGCTATTTCTGTGGCCACATATACCTTAACATTTAGAGGGATGAGGTCTTTTGCACATTTACATCTGAGAGTTGAGTGGGAAGTTACTTTCAGAATACAATAATGATTTGTTGATTAAGAGGCCTTTATTTCTTGCCAAATGTTGGAGTATTTGTTTCTGCTTTTAAGGATTCCTAACATATTGGTTCCAAAATATTTGGAATCTTGTGCCAAGTGTTGTCTTAAATATTTAGCATGTTGTTTTCTTTAAGCTTGAATATTTCAAGCCCAGCTGAATGATCCTGTGAAATTGTGCAGTATCACTATTGTTTCAAATCTGAGCCTTTTATTCTTTGCCAAATTTCAGTTTACAGCTGCTCTTTTGCTGGCAAGATTTATTCACTCTCAGTAGACATCTAAAATGCAAATACCGATTCAGTCTTAATAATAAGGAATTGTGGCACTATATTTGGAAAATGAGTAAGGAAGCATTTTAAGGCAATTATTTTAATATATTCTTTTTTCCCACGACAAGTGAAATTTCAAAATATACTTATTTAACATTTAAGGTACTATAAAAGAAAAGAATTATGAAAGTTTCAAATACATTTTCTAAGGTTGTAATATTTAAAATCTATTTTTTATCCCCAAACTTTTAGTTACAGTATGAAGATAATTTTTTTTTTTTTTTAGTCAGAGTCTCACTCTGTTGCCCAGGCTGGAGTACAGTGCACACTCGTAACCATCACAGCCTCTACCTGCTGTGCTCAGCTGATCCTTTTGCCTCAGCCTTCCAAGTAGCTGAAACCACAGATGTGCACCATCACACCCAACTAATTTTGTTTTTTATTTATTGAAGAGACAAGGTCTTGCAATGTTGTCCTGGCTGATTACAAATCCCTGGGCTCAGGCAATCCTCTCACCTCCACTTCCCAAAGTGCTGGGATTACAAGTGTGAGCCACCACATTCAGCAATAAATGTTTTTGAAGCATGATTTCAAACATTTCTTCTTCTTTTTTTTTTTTGAATTGGAGTCTCACTCTGTCGCCCAGGCTGGAGTGCAGTGGCATACTCATGACCACCCCAGGCTTGACCTGCTGGGTTCAGGCGATCCTTCCACCTAAGCCTTCCAAGTAGCTGGAACTACAGGTATGTGCCACCACACCCAGCTAATTTTTTTGATTTGTTGTAGAGATGAGGTCTCGCCAAGTTGCCCGGGCTGGTCTCGAAACCATGAGCTCAAGCAGTCCTTTCACCTCAGCTTCCCAAAGTGCTGGGATTATAGGCGTGAGCCACCACGCCCAGCCCTTTCAAACATTTCTTACTTTTATCTCATGTTATTCTGTTCATATATATTATTTTAAAAGACTGATTTTAAGATTAATTTTACATTATATAAATATACAATTAATAGTGACTTTTGTTATTTTTTCCTCTCAGGCATAGATTTTTCAGATTGTTATAGATTACCTTTTTTTTTTTTTTTTTAAGCAGGAGAAGGGATTACGTTATTGTATTCCTGGTGATATGTTCTCAAAATGTCTTCAGTTTTCTTATTTATAAAAAGAAGATAATAACAGTACCTGTCTCACAGGGTAGTAATGAAGGTTAACTGAATTGACAGTTGTAGATCACTAAGAATATCACATGTTCTCACTCATATTGTGGACCTTGAACATCTATCATAATACTATAAGAAAAGGATTGACAGTGGCGGGAAACTCTGGGGGGGCAAGGAGGAGAAGGGAGGTGGGATTAACGGTAGTCAATATCTGTCTGGGGATGGGAGACACCCCTTATCAACAAGGGTGCCTGAACGATGCATATTTGTATACCTAACCCTTAACTGTACCCCCACAATTTTAAAATAAAAAATATGTCAAAAAAAGAGAATAGTTCATGGAACATGATAAGCACTATGTGTTTGTTAAATATATAGCTATGTCATCCTTTTAGGAAAAGATTTTCCAAAGGCCTTACTTAGGTGATATAATATTTCTATTACTATCTTATTACTATTTCTTAATTTAATTAAGATGCTAATTAATTGAGTGATACTAATAAAATATGTATGCTTCTGAATGTAGTTTTCAATGACTTACTTTAAAAGTCTGCCTATAGCTTGAGCCACGAGATGAATATTCAATGACAGTAACCGTTTCAAAACTCACTGTTATATTTCAACTGAAAATATTCCTCCCACCTTCCTCTGAGAACTTCCTATATCATCACCTTCTGTCAAGTTTTTTCTTTCCATAGTTCTGACATTTCTGATGCCTCCCAGTCAAAACTGTCCAACAAAGCTTACTGACTGCACTCTGGCACTTCACGGGAAGCATTTGGTTAATTTTAAGGAGACGATTTGTGCTTAACTGTAATTTATCAGCCAGTTAACATCACAGACTGGGCAGAGCTCTGTCTAGTAAACCAACCATGCAGATCAGGCTGGTAGCAACTCTCTGGCTTCCCTGAGCAGCTCTTTCACACTCAGAGAGAGGGATTGGATACAGGAATTATCACTGTGGGAGAGACAGTGATCAGTCATCCCTCTGGTATCTTTACTAAGCTTTGAAACAAGTTCACTGACCAGAAACCAGGCTTGATGGCCCTTGTTCTCATTGTGGGAATGACTTATTACTGGCACAGGTCACCCATCTTAGTCCAATACCAGTTCTAAACCTTAGAGCACTATGGAGATTTCCCTTCTTCTAAGCTGAAATTGTTCATAGCTGTCTATAAATCTAGTTTTCATTTTGTGTGACTTCTGTATTATTTGAGAACAATCTAGAGTTTTACCTAGGAGTTTTGAGAGGACATAAGGCTAAATGTTTTAGGATAGGGTACAGAGTGAAGGGGTAAGTTTAGCAATCTCACAAAATAGAAAAAGAAAATTATGGCCAGGTATGGTGGCTCATGCACTTTGGGAAACTGAGGCCAGAAGATTACCTGAACCCAGGAGTTCGAGACCAGCCTGAGCAACAAAATGAGACTTTGTCTCTACAAAAAAATTTTAAAAATTTGCTGGACAGGGTGGCATATGCCTAGTAGTCCCTGCTACTAGGGAGGCTGAGGCTGAAGAATCACCTGAGCCCAGGAAGTCAGGACTGCAGTAAGCGGTAATCATGTCCCTGCACTCCAGCCTGGATGAGAGTAGGACCTTCACTAAAAATAAAAAAAAAATAAAAAAAGAAAATTGCGTAGTCATTCATAAATCAAGTATAATGATCCCACATAGACATCAAAGGCTGCTAATTTAGATAATTTTTACTTTTAGCTTTACATTTGTCTTCATTTACAATGGCATTTCTTTTGATGCTCATCTTGTAGTGCATAATTCCCCAAGTTTAATAATAAACTGCTAGGGCTTAATTGCCTTTTACATGGAATGGTCGTTTGCAGCCCTTTTTGTCCTGACTCCATTTGCTCCTTGTATGTTTTCTTGTAAATATTAGTAGAGTGTTGTGTCCTGTGGGAGACATGGTAAGGTACAAAGCTGGGGAGGGAATCAGGGAGTTAGACGGGGACACAGAGTGACAAAATTCACACACACACACACACACTCAGACACCTATCCAGAGGAAATTTTGCACTCAGAGATGTTGAGACACCAAAGGGATGGGGCCTAGAAGCAGAGACTTTCAAGGCCACAGACCTAGGCCAATACGGACAGATGGATGCACACATGCGGGTGCGCGCGCGCGCGCACACACACACACACACACACACACACACACACACACACACACACACACACACAAATTCAGGACAAGAGGCAGCAGTAAGAGAGAAAGATCCTGCAGGGGCAGGGAGCAGAGAGAATTAGAGAAAAGGAGGACAGGAGCATGATGGAAAGAAAGAAATTGGGGGAATGGGAAGTCCACTCTGGTGGAAGATGCACTGCCTAGAACACGTGTTGCCTCTGTCTGTGTTCAAGGAGTGAGAAGCGCTGGGTGGCAGGGCCAGTGGAAGGAAGGATGTTGATTTGATTGCTCTCCTTTGTAGTATTCAAGAAATGCTGACAGGCCAGAGGCTCTGTCATTCCGAATCTCACAATGTTAGCGTCCTGGCAGCGCTGAACCAGCAGAGGAGTGATGGCATCCTCTGCGACGTCACCCTGATTGCTGAGGAACAGAAATTCCATGCTCACAAGGCAGTCCTGGCAGCGTGCAGCGACTATTTTCGGGTAAGTCAGGTTGTTTGTGTCTCTTAAGATAGCAAGAAACAGAGGATGACAGTGTTTCTGGAAATGTCACTCAACCTGGAGCCAATTTGATGGTAGCTCCCAGATCTCTGAATATTGGGGACCTGTGTTCTTTCCTGGGCAGAATGTGACTTGGGGCCCCGTTGGGGTCCTCCCTGAGCTGGACACCTGGATGTCTTTCCATGGAGATCAGACCCCCACTGCACAGAAAGGAATGAGAAAATGTGGCGCTGTTCCATGCATGGGTGCGGGGTGGGAAGGAATGCTTCTGAAGTCAGGATCAGAAGAGCAAGCTGTCAAACAATTTGTTAAAATAAAACCATTTCTTAATATGTGTAATATTTCTGATTTTTTCTTTTGTTTCATTGTTATTATTATTATTATTAATTGTGGGAGGAGGAGGAGAGATGAGGTCTCTTGCTATGTCGCTATGTTGCTAGTTCTGATCTCCAACTTCTGGGCTCAAGCAATCCTCTTGTCTTGGCCTCCCACAGAGTTAGGATTATAGACATGAGCCACTGTGCGCAGCCTGATTTTTTAAATTTTCTACACAAGTTCTTTATGCTTTATAACAGCAAATGCTATGGGATGATAAGATTGTTGTGCAGTATGGTGATAGCTAATTGAATAATACTTCTTTAGCACTCCCTGTGATTCGGGTAGTAGACAAAGGACTTTATGGGCACACCTCATTTAATCCTCACAACAACCCATTATACAAATATATATACATACTATTAAAATCACCATTCTGCATATAAGGAAACAATCTCAGAAGCTAAATAATTTGTAATAATAACTCAGAGGCTAAATAAGAGATCTCATAGTTCCTAAATGGTAGATCTGGACTTGAAATCCATGTTTGACTCTACCACTGTGCTAGTCTACCATTTATATGGATATAAGAAAGCAAACCTCAATAGTTATTAGCCAGAATTTTTTGAAATACTTATTCTAAATAGACACCTTAATTCTTACTTAATTTTGTGTTCAATGTTATTTCAGTTAACTAGTGACTAAGTCATATTTTTGAAACATCACAGGGTATTCATCTCCATAAAAATGGGAATGTGAGTTCATTTAATTGTAAATTTATTTTTAAAATTTCCCTACCAAAGTATCTAAATGATACAGAAATGAAGTTAGGCCCAGGAGCAATTCGTTGGTTGGCTTGGATATTTCAATAAAAATCTTGTTTTTGATGTTTAAGATACAGTACAAGTTGTACTCAGTGGCTAACTAGCAGTCACAGAGAATTTTCAAAGATGCCAAATCATAAAAGAAAGCCCTTTTTTAAAAAAAAGTGTTTTAAATGTGAAAAAAACTGAGTAAGAGGATAAAGAAGTAATTACTTGAAATGTCTGTTTCTAAAATAAAAAGTAAGGATTTAATTCTAAACTGTGGAAACGAAGCCAAGTATCTGTAAAGTAATCTTTTAGTTCCATTAATATAATGATACATTTTACACACCCTCACATTGTCAGGTACTAATCTTCTAGAAAGGTTATATTATTCAGAGGGGCTTTGGAATCAACAGAACACTTTAGATTGCATACACGTTATATAATAAGAGTTTTGTCTTTTTGTAGACCATACGCTAGCATTCTTGGTAAAAGCTTTTCTCCATATATGTTTCTGCCTGTAGGGTTTTTAATTTAATTTTTGGGTTGGGCGTGGTGGCTCATGCCTGTAATCTCAGCACTTTGGGAGGCCGAGACGAGAGGATCACTTGAGCCCAGGAGTTCGAGACCAGTCTAGGCAACATAGCAAGACCTGATCTTTAGGAAAATTTTAAAAAATTAGCCAGATATGGTGGGGCATGCCTGTAGGCCCAGCTAATTGGGAGACTGAGCTGGGAAGATCACAAAGCCCAGAAGGTTGAGGCTGCAGTGAGCTGTGATTGTGCCATTGCATTCCAGCCTCGGTGACAGAGTGAGACCCTGACTCAAAAAACAAAACAAAACAAAAACAAAAAAATAATTAGGATATGGTTTGATTTTGCATGTGTATGTATCTGAGAGAGAGCAGAGAGGGTATGAATGAATACAAATACATAGAGACTATGTCACTTGTTGGTGTTTAACAGTGTTTGCTGCTGCTCTCAGTTTCTCATCTCTACCATAATGCCCTCATATTTTGGTAGGTTATGCGTGGAAAAGTGCCTCCTTTATCATGTCTATGTTATAAGCCTCAACCTGTGGGTTGAGGCTTGCCCTTTTGCTGTTTTTAGAATTTAGTTGCCATGTGAAAAAGCCTAGGCTAGCTAGTTGGTGAAAATACGTGGTCCAGTCTCCCTTATCACCTCAACCAACAGCCTACCAATCTCTAGACAAGCAAACAAGGTCAACTCAGATCATCCAGCCTCCAGCCAAGCCCCCAGTCAACCACTACTGGAAGAGCAAATCTAGCATAGGCCAGCTGAGCTGGCAGACCAGGAGAGCAATTCCGTTTTTAAGTTTTGGGATGGTTTGTTATCGGGTTGATGTGTAAATTCAAAGCATTTTTCACTTGCCCATGGAATGTAAATGTAGCTTGATGGTTAACTGGTCATTCATTAAATTTGCCAATTCTTGGGTTGACTGACGTGCATCATCATGGATTAAAGGGTTTAAACGGTCTTCTTCAAAGCCCGGTGTGGAGAATCACTCAGGTCAAAGTGGCCCTCTTGGAAAAGACAAAACCATTTTCTTGCCATGCTTTTCCTGATGAAATTCTCCCTGTACAGGGCAGAAATGTTTCCAGCCATCTCCACTGCTGTTACTCCTCTGTTAAACCGAAGAATATGTCAGAAGCGTTTGTTTTTTTCCACTTGACACTCCATCTTCTTTAGCCCACAGATAGTACTAACTTTATTCAAATCTGCAAGGTGTATTCACAAACGCAACATTGTCACACTCCGAATGACAAATGGTAAACAAACTCTCAACACCATAGTAGACGCCACGCCAAAAACAAACACCATAAACTTATACATCAACCTAATATTTTAGAAAACTTTATTACTTGAATTTTTCAAGCCAAGAAGCTAAAGTACAATATGTTTAAATAACTTGCCCATGGACTTGCCAGATATCAGGTAAAAGAGTTGATTTTCACACAGATCTGCCTCCCTGAGTACCACACTGTGCTTTTTCCACTTAAGCTATGGGGCCTGCTGTATTCACACACAGTTCTTTCAGTCTCACAACCTGCTTGTAAGATGAAAATTCATTGATTTGTGCACTGATTGCTCACATAGATAAGCTGAAACAAAGTTGGAGCAATTAGCACTTTTTTCTAGGAACTGTGCTAAGCGTTGGAGTCATGGTATCTAACCGGCATAGACTGAGCCCTATGGAACTAGTAATATGGATATTGTACTGGAAGTAATTTTTGCCTTGTACCCAGTATCTTTTGGTTAGCTTTTGCTACATAACAAACCACCCCAAAACGTAGAAGCTGAATTGTTCTCTTGGTCTGCCAGCTCAGCTGACCTATGCTGGATTTGCTCATGCAGCAGTGGTTGACTGAGGGGTTTGGCTAGCGGCTGGATGATCCGATTTGGCCTTGGTTACATGTTTGGTGATTGGTGGGTTGTTGGTTGGGGTGATAAGGGAAACTGGACCATGTATTTTCACCACCGGCTAGCCTAGGCTTTTTCACATGGTGACTAAATTCCAAGGACAGCAAGAGGACAAGCCTCAAAAGGTGCTTCTTAAGCTTCTGTTTGTGTCGTGTTTGCTAATGACTCATCAGTCAAGCAAGACCCATGGCCAAGCCCAGAGTATTGCAAGAGGGTGTATGAAAAGGGTATAGATGAAAGAGGAGGAAGAATTTGTTGTCATTTTTCTTAAGCTACCACTGTCAAGATCTGTGAAGGATCTGAGAGGTTGCCTTACGTGTAAGCAAACTAGTTAGCCTATCACAGTATTATAG